GTATGTTTTCAATGGTACATCTGTAGAAGTTGGTGAGGGACCTTATGCCACACAAGGGAGAATCAGCCTGGATTCTGGACTCTGGAGTTAGGATTTGAACTCGGAACATAAGAACCAGGAACAGGAGAAGGTCATTCACCCCTGAGTAAGCTCTGTCAGTTAATCTCATCTGGGCCTCTGCACCACTTCTCGCTAACCCTTTAACCCAAATTAAAAATCTATGTCCTCCTTAGAGTTACTCAATGTCCCAGCATCCGCCCACCGTTCCCTAGGGGAGTGAATTCCACAGGAAGCTGCTGACTTGGTGAGAGAAGTATTACTCAGTGAGTGTGAGCACACCAGCGTTAGTGTGAGCACACCCACGTTAGTGTGAGCACACCCGCGTTAAGTGTGAGCACACTGCGCTGATCACAGCCACTGTGATACAGAGTCTTTTAATTCATTCATGGAATGTGGGTGTCACTGACCAGGCAGCATTTATTGCCCATCCCTAATTGCCCAGAGGGCAGTTCAGAGTCAACCACATTGCTGTGGGTCTGGAGTCACATGTAGCCCAGACCAGGTAAGGATGGCAGTTTCCTTCCCTAAAGGACATTAGTGAACCAGATGGGTTTTCCCAACAACCGACAATGGGTTCACGGTCCTCATTAGACTCTTAATTCCAGATATTTATTGATTGAATTCAAATTCCACCGTCTGCAGTGGTGGGTTTGAACCGCGGTCCCCAGAACATTACCTGGGTCTCTGGATTAACGATAGGCCATTGCCTCCCCAGTGAGTGGGAAGGTAGGGAGACACATTAACCCCCGTGCTGAGCAGTGACTGGGAGGGAACTAGAACTCGCCAATCCTCCTGCTGTGATAATCCTCCTGCCCGTTTACCTCTGGAGCACATAGTTTAACAATGACGACTCAGCAGTTTGACCCCACTGACGACTGTTTCCATGGTTACTGAATGAGTCAGACATCAGTTGTGTGCAGCCCTGGGTTCTGGGTGTTTATGCCGAGCAGAATGTTGGCATGGCCTTTCCTCACCGACCCACAGCCTCCCACAGAAACACTATTGGCTCAGGCTGGATGCAGTGATGAGTAAGTATTGGCTGTACAGCACATGACTCAACTTTACCAGGAAACTATCTCATCAATGGAAACAGTTCACACTGAAGCTGCAGGGAGCTTAAAAACACAGGAGAGAAACACGGAGAGCTTTACTCTGTATCTAACCCCGTGCTGTCCCTGTCCTGGGAGTGTTTGATGGGGACAGTGTAGAGGGAGCTTTACTCTGTATCTAACCCCGTGCTGTCCCTGTCCTGAGCGTGTTTGATGGGGGACAGTGTAGAAGGAGCTTTACTCTGTATTTAACCCCATGCTGTCCCTGCCCTGGGAGTGTTTGATGGAGGACAGTGTAGAAGGAGCTTTACTCTGTATTTAACCCCATGCTGTCCCTGCCCTGGGAGTGTTTGATGGGGGACAGTGTAGAAGGAGCTTTACTCTGTATTTAACCCCATGCTGTCCCTGCCCTGGGAGTGTTTGATGGGGGACAGTGTAGAGGGAACTTTACTCTGTATCTAACCCCGTGCTGTCCCTGTCCTGGGTGTGTTTGATGGTGGGGGGGAAGCAGTGTAGAGGGAGGTAAGATCTGTGTTTCTAACATGACACTTTATTTTGCTGTTTTCCCTGTAGGCTTGTTTTATCTTCTCTCTTGCCAAGTACGCGCCACTGACCTACAACAAAGTCTACAAGTACCCTGACTGGGCGGAAGGTTTGGGTTGGCTGTTGGCTCTGTCCTCCATGATATGCATCCCTTTGGTGGTGGTTGTGAAGATTATTCAGTCAGACGGGCCAATAATTGAGGTAAGGTGATCGTCAAGGCTTGAGTGTGTTGACCCCCAGCCGAATCTCTGGGGATCCCGCCTGGTCGTAGAGCTCTGGTCTGCTGGAATTGGCTGGATTCTGTGACACAGCAGTGGGCCATTCAGCCCAATGCTTTATGATGGTGTTCACACTCCATCCAAGCTCTGTCCTACCCCAGCTAATAGTTGATAGCTACGCTCCAGTTCCTTGAAGCTGCAGTTGGATCTCAGTTCTAATGCTGCTTTGTTCCATAGGTTTCACACCTCAGGAATGTTTCCTGTGTGTGAGGAAGTAGTGTTTAATTAGCTCATTTCACAACCTTGGGGACCAACGAAACCACATGAGTAAGGAATATAATTGGATTCATGGAGAGGAGCCATATTCTCCGCTGGTGTTGCAGGGTTGGCGGCAGAGGGAGGGGGGGGTTTACTGCAGTTGGGGAGTGGTGTGAGAAACAAGGAGGGGAACCCCTTTAAATCCTCAAAAGCAAGCCTGACGTTTTCAGCCAAGCTTTTCCCCATGAATCCAATCACATCCTTTTTTTTTGTGGGCTCATTGGTGATTCCAGGAACTGTTCCTTCCCACAAACAGGGAATCTGGGAGCTCTCTCTACCGCCAAACATTTGGATCAGTCAACAGCTTTGAAACAAAGATTGATAGACATACAAGATTGTTGTGAAACTTGACAGGGTCGATGTGGAGAGGTTTTTCCCCCTTGTGGGAGAGTCTAGGACCCAGAGGGGATCATCTCAGAGTAAGGGGTCACCCATTGATAAGAGATGAGGAGGAATTTCTTCTCTCCGAGGGGAGCACGATCCCACAATTCTTTACCACAGAGGGCTGTAGGGGCTGCGTGATTGAGAATATTGAAGGCGAAGCTAGACAAGATTTTTAATCAGTAAGGGAATCGAGGGTTGTGGGAAAAAGGCAGGAAAGTGGAAGATTATCAGATCAGCCATGACCTCATTGAATGGTGGAGCAGACTCGATGGGCAGAGTGGCCTACTGCTGCTCCTGTGTCTGGTGGATTCCTTTCTGGGTCATGGGTCAAAGGTGAGTTGAGACCCAGGTGAGCTAACTCAGAGATGCAGTCAGCTGGAGGGGCAGGGTCATGTGAATTGTTTTGCATTCCATTATCATCAAGTCTAACTGCATCCCCCCACCCTGTCTTCTCTCCACCACCACCCCCCGACAAACCACAGCGGATTAAGATGCTGACTGCACCCAAGGGAGAAGGAAGGAAACCAAAAGATGTAGCGTTGGATGCTGAGGCCACAGTTCCACTCAGTCCCAATGGGACTGCAGGAAACGAAGTTGGAAAGCCCACTCAGATAATTATAGAAACTGCGATGTAAGCTCTCTATGAGAGACTAAAATTGTGCTTTTTTTGTTTGACATGAACTCCAGCCTTTCCAGGACCAGATAACCCCATTCACCTAAAGTAATGCTTATCATAGACCTCAGTCTGAACTGAATGGTTAATCCCTCAGAGAACACAGTAAATAAAACTATAGAAACAACTAACCTCTGTAACTTGGTCAAGCGATCACTCACAAGTATTCCAAATGTTGGTCACTCCAATCTGAAGGCTAGGTTCTGCTTCCTAATCCTTGGGGAAAGACTCTGGCTGTGTTTCCAACATCAAGGTGATCCGCTGGAGTTTTATTTGTTTTTTTTTTTGGCCCAGTTGCCCCCTTCCCCATCCCTTCATCACCTTCAATGTGGTTTTCTGATTTGTAGAACCCCACCACCTCCCCCCGCCCCAGCACACATCCCCCACCCCATGAGAGTTGGAGCCAGTCTCAGGAGCGCCCTGTTTGTTCTCGCTGTGTGATCGGGAGGTTATACGCGGAGCAGAATTATTGGAATTCCGATTTCTTCTTTCCCTCCCCTCCCTCCCACACTAGTCCCCACCCCCAACCCATCTTTTTTTCTATTTAGCTTTTTGTACGTAAGATGTTCTAAGAACAGGAACACAGTTCTAAACACTGTTGCATTGTAGGAATCTGCTCCCCACCACTCGCGCACCCTCCTAATCCTCCGCTACCTCCATCCTCCTACCCTTCCCCTACTCCTTCTCCATTCTCTACTCGCCACTTTTCCCTCATCCCTCCCCCCAAAGTCCCTCTTCTTGACCTTCCCCCACTCTCCTCCTCTCCGACACTCACCACTTCCCCAGTCCCCTCATCCTCTTGCCCAACGTCCCTCCTCCTGCACTACCACCCCCCCCACTCCTCCTTCTCCTCCTCTACACTCTCCATTTCCCACATTCCTCCTCCTCCCCTGCCCCCTCCTCTCTCCCTGTGGTCAAGGCGAGAGGGTCAATCCCACAATGCACTGGACCAAACCATAGTGGACGGGGGTATATATTAGCAGCTATTTTGTGAATAACTTGCAGTTGATAGATTTACAAGAAGCTTAAAACAAAATGTTGCACAATGTTTGAAGTTCTTTTCGTGTGCGCGCGTGTGTGTGTGTGCGTGGTAAAGGAATGATTTCACATTGTACCTGTGGCGTTTTTTAAAACTACAATCATTGTGTATAGAACAATACTGACGATTTCAGTATCAATGTTGTAGTGAATCTCAATGAAAAACTTTCTAACCCTTGTTCTTTTTCTGTACGGACCTATTTTAATCTGTGATCACCCTGTTAAAGACATTTTGGATTCTGTGTTTATGTCAGACACATACAAACAGCACAGCTTCCATGTCTGTGTTGTACAAGTCAGTCAGAAGTGATCAGAATCTTTTACCCTTTCTCTGTCTCCCTCTCTCTGTCTCTCTCTCTCTCTGTCTCTCTCTCTCTCCCTATTGCACTGCATTTTTGTAACAACAGTTTAGTACAACTTAAGAATTGACCCCCTTCCTTTTGAACCATCAACCTGTTTTTTAAACCATGTTTTGAAAAGAATTTGGCTATTTTATTTCAGTTTTAAACCCTCTGTGTGTGTGTAGAGGAGGTAGTGGTGGGTCAGTGCTGAGGAAATGTTTCCTTCTTAACCCTGGGTTAAAATTGATCAAACAATCCACAGCCCCTTCCCTCAGCCTCACTGTGTGTGTCTCCAGATGGAAGGGAGTATCAGAAAGCAAATTTTTTAGAGAGTAGGGGACATATTTTCACTCCCGGAGATTATGTTATATCAGGAATTGAATGTGTCAGTTCTGCCTCTTGTAGACAGTCAGCAGAGGATCTGGGGAACAGACCCACATTCCTGAGAGGACACCTGTTTTGGAAGCAGTTGATCTCCTGAGCAGGGAACCCATTGTGTAACACCCACAGATCCTGCCTCGCAAAACTTCCAGAACCTTTACTCAGCTTCACGTTCACAGTCGCCAGTCAAAGATTTTCTGAGCCTGTGGAAAAACATGTCAGAGGGGATCCAGTTAATTCAACACTCAGACTGCGTCCAGATGAAGGTGAACATGCACACCGCTTCCCTTTCTCCTTGTGTCACATTCTGAAACCGCTATTAGACCTGCACTGGGCCTCCATGTAGCTCCAGTCTGTCTTAAAACATCTTGCATTCAAGATGGCGGCTCAGCACCACCACCCCTCCAGGAGAGCCGCCAGGGGTGGGCGATAAAACGGTATTCCCGTTCCCCGTGAATGAGTTAGAAATACAGACCCTCCACCCCAGCTGGCCAGCTCATCGATTAGGAGGTAGGGACAAGAGTAGGCCAGTTAGCCCCTAAAGCCCAGAATGTCATCCCCAAGATCCTCGGTGATTCTGCCAATCCAGAACCCAATTCTGGTGGGCCCTTGCTCTCTCCCCTCCTCCCTCGGCCTGTACCCCCTCACCTGCCCCCATCTGATCGTCAGCTCTCTGCCCACAGTCACAGTTCGTAATCTCTCTGCTGAATGAAGAATTTGAGTGAGGGCTTGAAATGCCTCACACCAGGGTTAGTGAGGGTAGTGTGGCCTGGGGCAGAGGATATGGTGTTGGGAACAGAGTATTTCTAGCTGGTGTGTTGAGATTATTTGGGGGTCTCTGGGGGTGGGGGGGGGGGGTGCTAGATTGATGTTAGCGACGTTTTCAGTCATGCTGCTTCACATCTCCGTGTTTTACATTCTGCCCAGTCCTTGGAATAATGAGTGACGCACTGTATGGGACTGCAGCTATTTCTGTTGTAAGGTCAGTCAGCATTGGCAGCTGTAACAGTGAGATAATGGTGAGTCAGGGACTCTGAGCTCCAGCTCTTTATATTGACTGTGATGAAGTGACAGGTGAATGATTAAACCAACAGGCATCTGCACTCCACTGAGCGTGAGAGTTTGTAAAAGGAAAAACAAAGATAACTTGGACAACAAAATAACATGTTCCTTTATTTCCTCTTGACACCTTCACCATTGGCACATTTTAAAGAGGTGGGGAAGGAAGGCAGGTTTGACTGGGATAGGTATCATGTGGAGAACATTCCAGGCAGACTAGGTGACTCCAGACCCCCAGTGATCCAGTGAAAGAGAGTTGTGAGGGATCCGACCTCTAACCTGATTCCTGCCTGTGATCTCGGAGTGTTGACTGTGAGAAGTTCCCTTCCCCCATCCCAGCCTCACACTGTCCCAAAGTCACCTCCAGTAGATAAAGGGATAACACATGGAAGAGGCACCTTATCCTCTCTCTGCCTCCTGTCACTGAATGTGGAGAAGCTGAACCTAATTTGCAGAACATTTCACAAAGAAACAAGCAAAGAGTTCAAATATTATTTTTGACCTGGGTTTTTTTTTGTTTCGTTTGATTGATTGTAAAAGAAAAATGCATTGCTTTCAAACAACAAAACCAGGCTTTCTAAGCACCCACATAGATACTGGCCCAGCCAGGAAACCACACATTGTGAAATCGCCTGTTGGGCTAGAGGAGGTGTGGTGGGTGGGAGTGGTGTGCAGAATGGATCAGGGTAGGGCAAAAGTTCTGGGGATTTTGTTTTTGCTGCATTATAGTTTTCTCAGTTGATATTTGTTGAGGGTTGGGATTAGAATCAGGGGAGAGCTGGTGTAGAAACTGTGGGCAAATGAGCCGTTTGGCATGAGGAGGGGGAGGTTCGATAGGAGCCAGCAAGGAGTTGGCACTAATACACACACACACACACACAGAGAGGCAGGGGGGGGTTGTGGGTAGAAGGTACACAATGCGCCAGGCAAACTGCACTGACCTCAGCATC